TATAGAAGAGACTCATATAGAAAGGTTTCTATATAGAAGGAGGGGGTGAGAATCCTCTCCTGCAAACTAGTTCATTTATACATGTACCTCAACTTCCATGTTTGCAAAATTGGGGCAATGGAACCCGTCTTACTTTCCTCACAGAGGTATGTGAGGAACCCACAGAGTTAATGGATACAAACAAGGCTTTGAAAAGAACAAAGCGCCATATTTACAAACACAGGAGTTATTTATTGATTTATTTATGCTCCTTTGTGCTTCAAAAAAGGATTTGAGGGAGCTTACCAAAATACACACAATATAGTGGGATAAAAATAGTAAGAGGATCGAGCAGAGGGAAAACACAGGTAGAAAAATGAAATAAAGCCAGCGAAAATGCTAGTACCTGGAAACTTATGCTCAAAGTCCCTGAGCAAGTTTGGCTCTGAGCTTCCTCACGGACAAAGTGGGAAACACAATCGGTTAACAAAAGGTATAGTGGTCATAGGATAAGAGACTATCAGCATGCCAGGGGAGGCCACAGAGTTTAGCTTGGCACCAACATCTGGTAGAAATTTCTTCTCATCAAAAGGATGCTGTGGGGTGGGCCAGGCATAGTAGCTCATTCCTGTAATCCCATCACTTTGGGAGGCCGAAGCAGGTGGATCACCTGAGGTCAGGAGTTTGAGACCAGCCTGGCAAACATGGTGAAACCCCGTCTCTACTAAAAATACAAAAATTAGCCAGGTGTGGTGGCACATGCCTGTAATCTCAGCTACTCGGGAGGCTGAGGCACAAGAATTGCTTGAACCCAGGAGGCAGAGGTTGCAGTGAGCCAAGTTCACGCCACTGCACTCCAGCCTGGGTGACAGAGTGAGGCTCTGTCTCAAAAAAAAACAAAAAACAAAAAGAGGATGCTGCGAGGTAGAGTGGTCTGCATATTCAACAATATTTAGAGATCCTTTGATTTTCATGTCACTGGATGTCTAATTCAATTTCACGTGGATTCACTGTCTATGATTTGATTTATGTTAGCTAAAAACGATACCAGCGAAATAGAAAGCACATTCTTTTCCTCTGTCTGCTGCCTTCCTTCCTCCCTTCCTTCTTTCCTTTTCTTTCTTTTTGCATGGTAACACAAGGTTGGGTGCAAGGAGTGGTATGTGAGTTTTCCCCAGTGAAGTATGTAGACAAAAAAGTTCTAGCATCTTGGCTTAGCTGAAATGTATAAAACTCACAGAGACATAAAACTGTTCCAAGCAGGCCATAAAGACGCTGCTGCCTTTGCCTCAGAACTTGGGCTATAATCTGCTGCCCTGGAACAAAATTCAAACATAAATCAGCTTTCACAGTATTTTTAACCACCTACAAAATTCTTCATTTCCTGCCTGAAATGCTTCTGACAGTGAATGATGCCACTCTCCCTCACTCTTGCTCTGAAAAGGTTCCCTTGGGGCAGTGATGGGGACCCCACCCTGGGCCCCACAGCTCAGGCAAGGCCCAAAGGAGGCATAGGATAGAGAAAATGGTCTCCCAGGGTCTCTAGGACAAATAAGCCAGGGATGTGGCTAGAGAATAAAGTGCTTTCGTGCAAAGTTGGAAAGGGCGCCCCCTCTTGGCACAGGAGGTCCCGTGGTTTCCCACCTGGGATGCCCTCTCCTGCATCTTCGCCTGACACAATCTCTTCTGTCCTCCTGGACCCATAGCCTCCACAAAGCCACCCCCAAATACCCACCCCATTCTCTTTATTCTGCACTCCTAATGCATCAATAGTGAGTATCAGACAGCTGGCATTTAATTATATGACGCCTGGCATGCACTATTTCATGTTGTCAGTCTGTCTCTCTAACAAGATTAAAGGGATCTTGAGGGTAATCATTAGTTCTTACTTTATATCTCTCCCTTACAGCTAACGAGGGAGCTTTATCTGGGTACCTTACAAATAACAAGGTCACGAAAAACAGGAGCTTAGGGTTTCTGTCTTGTTCTCCCCACTGTACCCATTGCACAGACAAAACTGAAAGCCAAGGCCGGGCATGGTGGCTCATGCCTGTAACCCCAGCACTTTGGGAGGCTGAGGCGGGTGGATCACCTGGGGTCAGGAGTTTAAGACCAGCCTGATCAACATGGAGAAACCCTGTCTCTACTAAAAACACAAAATTAGCCAGGTGTGGTGGCGCATGCCTGTAATCCCAGCTACTTGGGAAACTGAGGCAGGAGAATCGCTTGAACCCAGGAAACAGAGGTTGCAGTGAGCTGAGATCGCGCCATTGCACTCCAGCCTGGGCAGCAAGAGCAAAACTCCATCTCAAAAAAAAAAAAAAAGAAAGAAATTTGAGAGCCAAAGCGGAGGCTCAACCTGCCCAAGGTCATGCAGTGAGAACTTGATCCAGCCAGAAACAACCCCAGTTCTCCTATCTGCCAGTGCAGTCTTCTACTTCCTTTAAACACTTAGCTCTAAAACCCCCAAAGAGGAGGTTCAGAAGCACATCTCCCTGGGGTAATAAAGACAGACAGACAGATAGCTGGCCCACAGTAATCCATCTGCTCATGGGCAGAGTTTCTAACATAGAGCCAAGCCAAGCTGCTCTAAGGCTCAGCAAACAGCCTCCACGGGAATCCAAGCTGGGTCTCTGTATGTGCCAGGGGGATGAAAGGACCTCAGTGGGGTACTGGGGCGCCTGCATCAGACCTGACACCATGCAGGCCACTATTGTCTGCGATGTCTGGGGCAAAGGAAACTAGCAATTGATGGTCTCAGCAGGAAGGACACATAGGTGGAGAGGGCATCTCCTGTTTACGGAGAGATGCTTGTGTTTACTAGGGGCTGTCTTTTACAACGAACTACCCACCCTTGATAGCAGGAAACCACCCAAGTATTTGCCCCAAATTTGTAACAAGAGACTACACAATAGTGCTAAAGCTGACAGAAACTGAAAACAAAACATTAACAAAAAATGCCAATGGCAACAATTTCTAAGCAAAACCCTATGACAAGCTGGCAGCAGGCTCATCAGTCCTGCTGAGCCTCTCCTGGGCACTCACAGGTCACAGTATCCGCCACTTAGTACTTCTTGCCAACACCCTATGAGTTTCACATGATGTGCTCGTTTTATAGACGTGGAAACGGAGGCTTAGGGAGCTGAAGTGTCTTGCCTCACATCACAGGCTGCTAAGAGGCAGAGCTGGGCTAGGCATCCAGGTTGATCTCCCTCTAAAAGCCTTCCCTTGCACTACAACCCATATTGACTCTCATTCCAACCCCATTTCAAATATTTCGTCCCATTAGCGGACCTGTGGGACAAGGTTTGGTTGGGAAATTATGAGGCTTTTCAGGGAGAGAGACAACAGGCTGCCCATCATTTCATGGGGGAATGGGAGAAAGAGACAAGGGACCGATAGGAGGTGCACCCAGATCTCTGTGGCTTTTTCTTGGTGCCAAACAAATGCAGAAGGAGCCACTTCTAAAAGAACACAGTGTTTTTCTTCCTCTTCTCACCTCCCCTGGGCTGGTGCCTGTGATAATTGGGAAGCAAAGAGTCTGGTTTTTCTGGGATTGGAACCAGTGCTGTGAAGAGTGCTCTGACAATGTGTTGTTGATTGACAGTTGATGGACAATGTTCTTGAATCAGTTTTTCCTGTGCTGGGTGGTAAGCTGAGAACTGCACTAAACAACTGCTCAGTGGCCTGCTTCCCGTTCAGATAGAATTTACTACACCCTCTCTCTGTGGGCCTCAGTCAGGCAGCCAGGCTAGATGGTATCTCAGGCCCCTTCCAGCTCCATCACTCAATGACTCTATCAAGAGGAGAACACAAATCTGAAAACACTTTTTTCCCCCAAACACCGAGTTGGGGTTATTATTCACACACAAAAACCCAGGCACCAACAGAGAGATAACCAGTCAGGAAATAAGGAGCTTTGATTCTGGTCTCATACTCTTTGACCTAATAATTCTACTTCCGCAATTTTATCTTGAAGAAAGAATCCAGAAGAACAGAGCTGTGTACATGAAAATGTTTGCTTTGGCAATATTTGGAGTTACTGTCAATAAAATGACGTCCAATGCAAGAACGGGAGAGACTCAGTGCCACATGCTGCCACTGCAAATGATGATTTCAAAGACACGGAAAAACGTCTTTGGCGGCGTTTTTCAAATTTCAGTTCACCCTCCATTAAGGGGTCATGAAATAAACCTAAGAGGTCTCCTGCCACCAACTCGTTTTTTTAATTAAATCGGCTAGAACAGAAAATAAGAGTGCATCACAGGCGGTAAAGGTACTTACTGTGAAACTTTGGTTTTGGTTTCATCAGTAACTGGGCCATGGTATAAAATGTATTTTTTATTGTGGCATCACAGTCAAAATATTTCAAAGGGCGTGAGTTTACAGTGTACAGTATAGTAGGATTACAACGGTATAAAATTGTGTGTGAGGCCAAGCCAGGAAGGAATAAACAGAAGCAAAGAGGAACTGATAAGGTTGGTAGAATAAAGGATGCTCTGCTTCTCAGTTATATGTTTTCTGTGCTGTTTGTAGTCTGTTATTACAATAAAACAAATCCAAATAAAAGAGCAAGAACTCAAGACATCAAGGAGGAATAACAATAGAAGGCTATTATCAGATTCCATAGGCCAAGGAGCTCAGGGCTCCAGCACAGGCCTTGAAAGACGGCCAGAAATTGAACGGGGGGCGTGGCCTAAACGGGGGTGGGATGGTCGCTGAAACACAAAACACACTGAAAGAGAATATGGGGTTAAAAAAGGCTCTCAGTGATCAAAGCGGCTTAGAACTGGGGAAGAAAGGGGCAGCTTCACTCCCAGGCGGTCCCTTGTGCCTCCCTGCACCGAATTTTCCTCCCTCCATCCACCGAGGCTGAGGTCTCAAGGTAGACGTTGCCCCTCATAAACATGGCCGCACCAAGCCGGCCGCGCCCCTCAACAAGATGGCGACGGCAGCAGCCTCACCTCCCGCTGTCTCGACGGCCAATGAGGGAGAAGCACGGAGACTTGAGCATGCGCATAGCTACTTGGTGGGCGCGTCCAGTGATGACTGGGGGATGCCGGCAAGTAACATGACTAAAAAGAAGCGGGAGAATCTGGGCGTCGCTCTAGAGGTGAGGGGAGAAGTGGGGTTTGGGCCACCTCGTCAGTTGCCTTCTCTTGGCCGCGGGGTAAGGGATGGGCTGGGCTATAGGTGGGAGGAGGAGCCAAGTGGTGGAAGAGAGGGCAACGCGGCTTGGGGAGAGGGACGCGAGGGGTGAGAAGGCCCTCGGGGTTCCCGGAGGCGACGGAGCCCAGGGGGGTGCCGGATGGGCGAACCAGACCCGAGGGCGCCTCCAGAGCGGAAGAGACATGGAAGTGAAGGGGACCCCCAAAGACGGCCTTGCACAGAAGTGAGGGGACTCAAAGCGGGGGACACAGAACAAAAGGATGGGTACAGAGGTGAGGGAGACCGCAGGGAAGTAGGGACCTGTAGATGAGGGGAACTCTAAAGGGCTAGGAGGCAAAGATGCGGAAGCCCATTCTGGTGTATATTACTAATGGTTTAAATATCCTCTAAAAGAGGAAATTTTTCCTCCGGAGTGTTGAAGCTTGTACCTTCAAAATTACTTTGGGAATATGACAAGAGAATTCTGGAATTGGTGATGTCACTGAACGGCTTAAAAATAATTTGCTGCATATAGAAGGGAAAGAAAACATGCATAGTGAACCACTGCTTTCATTGCATTCTCGGTTCATCCTCCCTGCAAGCCTGTGAGGTTTGTACGGATGAGGAAAGTGAGGTTTCAGGTGGAATCCAGGCTCAGGTGGTGGAAGTGGTGGAGCTGAGAATCAAGCATAGGTGGTCTTCCTGGAAATACATCTTGTTTCCTGTTTCCCTTCCCTTAGGGCATCCTCCCAGAGGTTGCAGGAGACGTACAGGGTAACAGTCTTCAGGCTTCGCTAGTGAGTTCAGTGATTATCAGATTTTAGCATGCATAGAGTCACTTACAAGGTTTGTTATAAATGGAGAGTTGTACTCTTCCCATGCCCCAAGTAATTCAGTAGGACTTTGTGATGTGCATTCTTAACAAGGAATCTGCATTTTTTAGAGTCTCGCTCTATTGCCGAGGCTGGAGTGGGGTGGAGCGATCTCGGCTCACTGCAACCTTTGTCTTCAGGGTTCAAGTGATTCTCATGCCTCATCCTCATGAGTAGCTAGGATTACAGGCACGTGTCACCATGCCCGGCTAACTTTTGTGTTTTTGTAGAGACAGGGTTTCCCCATGTTGGTCAGGCTGGTCTTGATCTTAAGTGATCTGCCAGCCTCAGCCTCCCAAAGTGCTGGGATTACAGGCACAAGCCACCATGCCTGGCCAGAATCTGCATTTTTTTTTTTTTTAACAAGCCTCACACACCCCATGGTGATGCAAGTAATTTTACTAGCACCCCTTGAGAAATACTTGCCTACTTGGTAGGAAAAAGGCTGATGGAAATGTGAAGAGGAGGGTTTATGAGTGGTAAAATGAGGGCACTGTGTAGCGGGAAGAACACAGACTTTATAACCTGTATTAGGGTACAATAAGCTGCAGTAACAGAGAAACCCCAAAACTTAATGGCTTCTAGAACAAGAAAGTTTGAGAGTTTTTTTTTTTCTAACAGGCTAGCACAAGGGGCAGCAAATGCAAACGAGTGGGAAAAAATTTGAGTCACCTGAGGTCCATGCGCCCAGCTAAAATTGAACAGCTGCCTTGTTTCAGCTGTCTTGTAAACAAGGGTCCGTATTGTGGTCTATTTAGTGCCCTGTTTTTTGCATTCTCGTGTTTTTTATTGTCGATTTTGCTGTTTTGTTTTTGAGACGGAGTCTCATTCCGTTGCCCAAGCTGGAGTGCAGTGGTGCAATCTTGACTCACTGCAACGTCAACCTCCTGGGTTCAAGCAATTCAGCCCCCTCCCATTCCCCGCCACCGCCTCCTTAGTAGCTGGGATTACAGGTGCCTGCCACCACGCCCAGCTAATTTTGTATTTTCAGTAGAGAGGGGGTTCACCATGTTGGCCAGGCTAGAACTCCTGACCTCAGGTGATTTGCCCACCTTGGCCTCCCAAAGTGCTGGGATTACAGATGTGAGCCACCACGCCTGGCCTAATTTTGCTGTTTAAAGTGCCCCCACCCCTCTCCAAGCATAAGTGCTGTTGGCGTTCCTAAGTCCGAGAAGGCTGTAATGTGTTGTAGAAGAAAACAGGTTTTCTTAGACAAATTGTTCAGGCATGATGTAACTCATGGTGTAACAGCACTATATGTGTTGTTGGTTGCGAGGTCCACTGTTAATTAAGCAACAATATATATTAAATAAGGTCACTTTAAACAGAATCTCACATAAAACAGGATTTTGTATGGATCAGTTGTGAAATGCTGTGTCCAGAGGCTTGCAGGAACCTAACCTGGTTCGGTATTTGCTAATTCAGTGTTGGAGGCAACTTTGTAAGACACAGCTACCAGGGATAACCAGAACCAACTGTACTCAGGCTAAGGAGTATGTAAATGAAGCAATATGTAAATGAGTGGGCGTGTCAGTGTCCACTAAAGCTTTATCTACGAGAACAGGTATTAGACCTTTTGGCCACAGGGCTTAGTTGCCAACTCCTGGTCTAGAGTACCAGGACTATGTTGGTTCTGCCAGATTGCCTCCCTTTGGCTCTGCCAATCTCTCAGGATCTTATCCCCTTATCAGTGGACCCAGGGTGTACCCCCATTGATGTGTCCACCAGCAGGGAAAGAGGAGAATGGAGGAAGCACACCCACTGTCCTGTCCCCAAACTTAAAAGGTCCTGGGCCCAAACTGCCCACTTTCCATTAGCAAGAACTAAGACATGTGACTCCACCTGACTGCAAGGGGGCCAAGGAAATGTGCTCCCCAGTCAGGAGGCCACGTAGCCAGCTACTGCTTGCTTACTATGGAAAAAGAGGCCAGCATGTTTTCACAGAAAGCCTGCAGTCTCGCTGCAGATGGCACCTCACCTCACAGTGTGGTTGTGAGGATTAAATAAAGCAATATGTGTTAAATGTCCAGCACACGCCTGGCACAGGATTAGTAATCAATACACGGTAGCTCCAGCCTTTGTATTTCTTTCGCATCCTTCTACCATGGCTAAGTCAAACTCCTTCTTGGGTATTGGTTTCCTCGTCTATAACATGAAGGACTTAAATTTCACCAGGGGTCACAAACTCCTTGACTGTGGTCCAAATACAGATCACAGATGTCTTCTGTTTTGCAAACACAGATTTTTAAGTTTTTATTTATTTATTTTGAGACAGAGTCTCGCTCTATTGCCCAGGCTGGAGTGCAGTAGTGTGATCTCGGCTCACTGCTGCCTCTGCCTCCCAGGTTCAAGTGATTCCTGTGCCTTAGCCTCCTGAGAAGCTGAGACTATAGGTGTGCACCACCACGCCCAGCTAAGTTTTGTATTTTTAGTGGAGATGGGGTTTCACCATGTTACACAGGCTGGTCTCGAACTCCTGTCCTCAAGTCATCTGCCCGCCTCTGCCTCCCAAAGTGCTGGGATTACAGGCGCAAGCCACTGCACCTGGACGGATTTTTAAGTTTTTAAACTTGGTGGGGCATGTATTCTCCAAGTGCTTTATACTGGGGCGGATTGCATTGCTTTACCCTCTTCATACCACCATAGATATTTATATTTGCTATCTTGGTTTCCAAGTTTACTTTTTGCCTAGGTATTTGAAGATTTGACATCTGGAACCCTGTGCCTTGGAAAAAGCCTGACGTCTGGCTGGCTGTCTCCCCACCTTGTTTCTCAGTTGCCCCCAGCAGGTCTGAGTATTAAATGTGCACTGATGCTCAGTAGCAGTAGATATTGTCCTCTTATTAAAAGTCGTGTGCTCACAGCCAATGAAGTGGTGATTTAATCAAAAATGTTTGTTAATCTGACGAGTGCAATAAAACTCCCACAAGTGAGTGATCTCAGCACCTGCAAACAGTCTCCACTTGTAATGAAGCAATTTCCAAGCAGGCAGCACTCACCCCTAGGGCTGGCTTGGGCCAGCTGTGCAGGCAGTCACCTCCTAGGACAACCAGGGCACCTTCCAGCCTTCACCTCAAAGTGGTTCCTTTTAAGGTCTTTTTATCCAAATCAGTTGCCACCATATGAGATCTCAGAGTTGGAAAAACTGAGTTTTAGCTTCTGAGAGTTTACTCTTAATAAGAAAATTATAGTTCAAATGAGAAATCACCCACCCAGTTCTGATTTTAATGTTGTGTGGGAGGAAGGAAAGGTTGAATTTCAGTCTAAACGGGTGGGAGGATTTGGGCTGATGTAGAACCTGTTTGTGTTTTTGGATCTCTGATAGTAGCAAGCTTTCCTTGGTCATTGCACTTTTCTCTTGTAGCTATTCAAGCTGGTGTCTTTAGATGTTTCAGTGACCCGTTGGTCATAAGTTAACAGATGTGTGGTGTCTTAGCCGATATGTTAAAGCAGATAACTTGGTTGGATCTGACCCCTAGTACAGGAAATCTATCCGTTTGGAAAGCTTTTGGCTACAAGTTATAGAAAACTGACCTCAGTGACTTAAGCAAATGGGAGTAGACTTTTCTCCCTGTAGAAATTTGTAGGTAGGTGGCTACTGGCATAGGTTCAAAAGCTCTGCTATGTCAGGGCTGATATTTCTACGTTCTCTCTTTTTTTTATTTATTTAAGTTCTGGGGTACATGTGCAGAACGTGCAGGTTTGTTACATAGGTATACACGTGTCATGGTGGTTTGCTGCATCCATCACTTTGTCATCTACATTAGGTATTTCTCCTAATGCTATCCCTCCCCTAGGCCCCACCCCCACCCACAGGGAGGATGTTCCCCTCCCTGTGTCCATGTGTTCTCATTGTTCAACACCCACTTATGAGTGAGAACATGTGGTGTTTGGTTTTCTGTTCTTGTGTCCGTTTGCTGAGAATGATGGTTTCCAGCTTCATCCACAGCCCTGTGAAGGACATGAACTCATCCTTTTTTATGGCTGCATAGTAATCCATGGTGTATATGTACCACATTTTCTTTATCCAGTCTATCATTAATGGGCATTTGGGTTGATTCCAAGTCTTTGCTATTGTGAACAGTGCTGCAGT